AGATCTATATAATATGCATTCCTCCCAGGTCTACCTCCCATCATCGTCCGACTCACCTCATTGGTTACTAGTCTATTCTATTCCTTCTTTCGTGCTGCTGCAACTACATATAATCCATTGTTCACATTCTATCCAACCACAGTGGTTTCCTTGCTGTTGTTGGACTGTTCCAGGTACATTCCCACATCAGAGCATCTGTACTTAGAGTCTGCTCTGTCTGCAATGCTCTTCTCCCAGATATTTTGAGTTTATTCACTCACTTCGTTCAAGTCTTTTCTGCCACCCTATCTACAATTGCAAACTTTGATTGCCACTATTTCTTAGCCACCTTCTCCTCTGCTTTATTTTTTCTTCATGCTACGTATGTTACTCGTGTCTGTCGGCCAGTTCTGTCTCTCTCCGTGGAAGGTAAAGTCCCTGAGGAAAGGGGTTGTTTAGTTCACTGCTTTAGTCCCAGCATTTGGAACAATGGCTGGCACTTAGTAGCCGGGAGGTGCTCAATAAATATTTGTTGAATGAATAAATGAACGAAACGCAAGATTTATTTTATATGTTGAAAAAATGAAATTAAAAAGCACCCAGTGTATCAATCAATCTGAAAGGGAGCCACATTCTTGGGAAATACGTATGTTGAAGAAAAGCAAGAACAACTGTGTGACAAATAACACTTTCCTGAATGCAGTTCCAAGTGACTGGGGAAGGGAGTTTGCTTAATAGCCAATGATTTGGGTGTTATTTTATATAACACCACCTCTCCAAAAAGAAAATTTAGCATTATTACAGGACATAGGCCATCCTATGTGGCCATATTAGCATTTTGGGTGGTTAATCCTTAAGCAAGACATAAAATAATATACATAATGGTATATACAAATAAACCTCCACACACCCTTTCCCCACTCCCACTCTCCAACAATTTCTTGATTTTTCAAGGCAGGGACCCTAGTCCCTAAAAGCAATACCCAAAGTACATTTTGCCAACTTTGAGTGATATATTAACAAACTCAATTTCATATTTATTCAGAAAAGATGAAGGGCTTTTACTCAGGTATTTTATTTTTCATTTAAATATTCTGAATATTTCCCTTGCAAAGAAAAATATAATTCAGTGTTACTGTCCTCTGGTTCAATACACAGGAGGTAGTAGACTGCCTCCCACAGTCTGTGGATAGTCCCTTTAAATAGCCACCTCCAAGAGTATGTAACATCTGGCTTAACAACCGGTTTACATGACAAGCATAAACTATGGAGATTCTGGACGGAGCTCACCTCGAGGGAAATGCAGTGGTCAGTGACAGGCTCTGCATCAGGAAGTACAAAAAGAACATTTTCTTTTCCCTCAAGTCAAGACCATATTAATTCCCATACTGGAATAGATTCATGGTCTCTAATCCTGGTGTTTGGTATTTTAAAACGTTAATAGAACTAATTTGGTAGAATAGCAAAGCTGAAATCAACATTAAAAAGCTCCAGAGCTACGATGATTTCCCCTACTAACCCCTAGATTGGAGATGAATTCACCTAAATCTTTGTAAACCTGTTTTTGGTCGTTACAACGAATTACACTGGGGTAATTAGTTTAACATTAAACACACTGTGTGGTCTAACTATGTAAGAAGTTAGGGCTATAAAAGAGAATTTACACTTTGGAGGGAGTGAGAAATAATGAATGTGTTAACGCAACAAGTATAATACACACAGCCATTTTAACTAAGATTGATGAAGGAAAAGATCAAGGTACTCTGGGAAAATGATAAGGACACGGGTTCTGCAAATGCTGGAACTTCAGTTCTTACTATGTGCCAGGCACTGTTTGGGGGGCAAGGGATACAGTGGTGAACAAAACAAGCGAAATTCCAGCCTGTAGGAAGTGTATGTTCTAGTGTTTTGAACAAAATTATTACTACATAATACCACTGAAACAAGTGCAGGTGTGAGTCCATGGCTTCCTAGTTACACACTCAGTTACAAGCGTAAGAACCTCCTAAGCCAGGGGTCCTCAAACTTTTTAAACAGGGGGCCAGTTTACTGCCCCTCAGACCATTGGAGGGTCAGACTGTGGGCCCTGGGATGAGTCGGCTGCTAAGCAGGACAGGCAGTGGTGGCAAAAACACCTGGCAGGCTGGATAAATGTCCTAGGTGGGCCGCATGTGGCCTGCGGGTCGTAGTTTGAGGACACCTGTCCTAAGCAATCACCAGGTTATTTAGGGGTACTCAAAAGGAGCAGATTCTTTGTCAATAATTTCTACTGGTTTTGTATTTACTGGAAAAGATAGGAGTCATATTTGAAAATTTTCTTTCAGTGAAAACATCTACATTTGCTTACATTCTGTAAAGCAGGACTTAGGTCAATCAGATTCTCATATTCTAACACTGGAGGTGAATCTCAAATATTTTAGGCAGCAAGATAATAGTATATATTTTCTCACTAATGATAGTTGATTCTTAATTTATCAAAATCGGACAACTCACTTTAGCTTACAGTATGGTACCAAGACATACTCTGCTCCACATACCACCTTTTCAAAAAATTAGAATCCAATCACTTGCTCTCCATGTGCTTTGTAAAAAGTTTACCGCGTCTAATTCAATGTCATAGCAAAATCCATCAGTTAGGAGGAGTTCACATATTTGCAAACCTGTGTTTCCACTGCCATTAACAGCTTCCTTGTCCTCATCTTCTTCCTCTTCAGGAAGAGAGCTGTCCATTCTTTCCATTTTGCTGACAGATGTAGTTCGTTTTCTTTGGGATTCTGTGTCAAACTCATTATCGAAGAGGACCTGATCGACAGGATCTGGCTGAAAAGGGCTGGGTTCTGCTGGAGGCTTGGGAGTTCCATAGAAGTTTCCTGAAGTGAACAAAACAGCAGCTGAAAGTCCTGATGCTGAACTGAGAGTCAGAGCAATCTGACCCAGTGTATCTCTCTCCTGGTTCTTACAATGAAGTTTTTTAGTATCTACTATTGGCCAAAAGAAAGCCAAAGCACTCCTTGGGGGAGTGGGGGAAAGACGTAGGGGAAAGAACTAATTTCACAAGTGCCCTTTACCATTTGTTACGTAGCATTTTAACACTATTTGTATTAAGGCCAGGAAGGTGAAGCAGTTTGCGTTATAGATGAGGTCAGACAATTAAGTTGGTAAACTCATCCTACAAAGAGTGGTACCTACCTCATTGCTGAATTATCACTACAGTCACCTTTGAAGTGCTCCCCATGGCCATCTGGTGACCATAGTGATATTCTGCAATGACGTATGTAGCACTTTTTCTAGGATGAGTCTGGAAACTTAATCGTCTAACCCTGTGAATATTATTTATACCTAGAAGGCTTGTTTTACATGGGTTCTGAATTAGGGCCTCATTTGTGGATTGAAAAAGCATTGACGCTCTCATGTAAGACTAAGTGGCATCAAAGGCGGGAGTAAAGGAGGATAAAGCTAACTCAAATAATTTTATTCTAATGTGCAAAATAATGAACGATTTTGGTAAAATGAAGAAGCACACGGGCAAAGGTTAAGCTGAGAAATGTAGGCTGTAAAGGTAATTTTGCAAAGTTTTTCTGAGCATTCCAATGATATCATTTTATCTGAAAGTTCATAGAGACATTGGAAACATAATTCAATATTGGTTTATTCTCAGGAAAGCAAAGAATACTTTAATTTTCTCTTGAGAATCAGTAATTTTTGCAATAAAAATAAATGTTCCAGAATAGAATGAAAACAACTGAGTATCTTCTCCATTTGTCATGCAATTCCCAATCACGCCATCAGATACAGTGGGGAGCCATCTGCAGGTCGGGCTGTATTAACTGTGTGTGGCTCCTACTAGTTTTGACCTGATATCAATCATTATGCTAATGTTATAGAAAGATAAATATGATTAGAGGGTAAAATTCTCATGATCTTTCACATCTTCTAATCAAATTCTTTAGCTCCTAAGGAGGTAATTAAGACACTTCTTCAGGTAAGGTAAATTAGGAAGGTAGATAATGGGGTTTTTTTTTCTTGATGGGAAAAAGCCCAGGTTGTTCCCCATAATTCAGAGACAAATCTAGAAATAATGAAGTTTATCTTAAATTGGGCATGCTCTGAGGGGAAAAGCATTAAGATGAATTCTTTGAAAGTTTGGCTTTGGACGGTACTTGTCATTGAAATAGTCAAGAAAAAACAATGAAATCAAACTGAATAATATTTCAGCTACATCCTGTCTCTCCTCACTCAGCTACCCCCTTGCTTCCAAATCTATTTTTGAGATGCAGTTGCACCTACCATGCAAATGGATGCAATGATCTGTACATATTCAAACAGACCCAGCTCTCTGCAATCTTTCTCGCCCCAAAGTAAAGCACAGAACCAATGAAAAGCCAGTTCATGCTTCTCTGGGACAGAGAGCACAGAAATACTCCAAACAGAGGTTTGGTTGGGGAACCAGATGTCCTAGGATCTCATTTTTTCCTGAATTATGCTCGATAATCATACTATCAAAGAAACCGGCTGCTCCGTGATAGATATAAAAAGGCCACAGTCTCTAAGGATGGCAGCAGTATTACTAGAAACACCAGGGACACATTTTATTGTGAATGCCTATAATTATTATCTAATTCTGAGTTTTTTTCTAAGGGGAAAATTAAAAAAAAAATGAGATACAGACCACACTTCAGATGTAAATGATAAATATGTACACAAGACACACTACACATTTTGCAAGAACGTACCCACACATACAAACAAAAACATTAGCATTAAACCCATCAGATGGTCAACTAGAAGAGGGAGCTATTTGCATAAAAGTAAATACAAATAAGTAGCTGCCGAGCAAAGTATCACAAGAATGGAGGAAAAAATATCCAATGTACACACCCCTATTATGAAACTAATTTAAACCTTTTTATATGAAAGCTATAACCAAATAGCCTAAGAATATGGGGAGGGGGAGGGAGAAGGGAGGGGGGAATGGGTGGAGGGAGGGAGTTAGGAGGGATTACTTCTGAGGTTTACCTTATAGGGGTACAGGTGAATCTTTCTAAGAGTAGAATGTGAATGTTTTAAAGCAATAACTGAGAAAATGACATGAAGGCTGTGTTGACCAGTTGATGGAAGTATTTCAGATTGCATGTGAAAACCCCACACTGTACCCTAGAAGTGCATTAATGTACATAGTTACCGTTCAATAAAAAAAAAAAAAAAAAAAAAAAAAAAAATAAGTAGCTGCCATTTCCTCTGAGAAATCCTCACTGGCCTCATCTAAACAAGATATTCCTATTATTTCCTTTGAATTCTTGGTTTTTTTTCCTTTATAATATCTCCATCTACAGTCATTTTATTTGCTTGGTCACTGCCTTCTCCATTAACATATAGGATTTACTAAGACGGTATCCTTTTAATCTTGTTCATAATGGCATCCCCAGGCCCTCTTATAGTGCTAGGCATGCGGCAGGTATTAATAAATGGTGTTGAATGAATAAAACAGGACCAAATAAATGAATAAGTGAATGGAGGAATGGGCCATGGGAGCTATGCCCAGAAAGGACAGGTAGGTCAAATCTAGCAGGCAAAGGAAATCACTGAAGATTCGGCATAGGAGAGGAACCTCGTGAGGGCTGGATTCGGGGAAGCCCTAGCATGGTAGCCGTGGGCAGGGTGGACTGGACAAAGAAAAGTAGAACAAATGAGACCAATTTGGGTCCACTGGGTAAACAGTCCACAGTTAATCTCACATGTGCAAGAATATTCCCTGCAGCTTTATCTCTGGTGATAAAGCTTTATCTGTGGCGGGCAACAGTCTAGACAGGAGCTCTCTGGTGGGTGTGCAATGAGGTGGTCAAAGTGAAAATGAGGGCACTGTGAAAATGGCTACAAAAGAAGAAATGACGAGGTTTCCTAACTGGCTGGGTATGAAATGTTAGAACAAGGAGAAAGTCAATGATGATTCTGCTGCTTTGACCTCATGGTGCTGTTGAAAAGAGAAATTATAAAAAATTATTCTTTTAACAGAAAATAAGTACATATTTGGATATGTCGAATTCAAGGTTTTTATTTTAAAAACGTGGACAATACTACCAATACTAACCTCTGAAGATAATATCAACTAATAAAGACACGCTCGGTACTGTCCTACAGCCTGTGAAACAGGGTGTTAAAGGAGTGGATGAACTTGCCAGACGGAACACAGAAAATCACTTACAATTGAAATTGATCTCAAATCTATATCTCCTGGAATCAAGTGGGTACAGGAAACAGATATGAGAGGAAAACCAATTATTCTGTTTTTGTTATTTTTCCTCCAAAGTGGTATTTTACTGATTGAATTTCCTCTGAAATAATTCCAGTTATCCGGATAGTTTTCTGGGGGGTGGCGGTGGTGGTGGCAAGATTTAGGGACATACCGTCATATGTCCCACTTTCTAACAGTGCTCCACTCTCTTCCAGGGCTTTGAACTGTTCGACAGAAATGAAGTTATAGTCCACTCCTGGCACCTCCCCTTCCCTGGGGGCCCTTGTAGTGCCTAAAGAAAAAGAAAAAAAGTACATTGTAAAGTGCTTTTAAAATGACCAAATATTCAGAGTAACAGAATATTCAGTCTGTAGAGAACACATGGGTGACACAGAGTATTGAACATACTGTACCTACTAGAATGAGGATCAGAAAATTTCAGAAACTTAACATTGTTAGGTGAAAATACTTTAATAAAATCTTCAGATAACCATGAAATTCAAAACTACAAAAACTCTAAAATAATTTTAGTATCAAAGGAGGCTTAATTTCCCAAGGCACAAAAGCTGATTCTTCTTAAATGTCAATTATCATTACTTAATAGCAAGGAGAGAAAAACCCTGCCATGATAGACTTTCCCCCACCTCAACCTTAATAAGGCATAATTGACAAATAAAAATTACTTATGTCTATAGTGTACACAATGTTTTGATGTACAGCGTATATACTGTGAAAGACATACTTCATTTTTAAGTGGCTATTCCATAGATTTTTTTTCTTCTCTGGCATAAATGTAAACTAACATTCTACTTACTAGCATGAAAGACAAGAAAAAATAGAGACACAATTTTTAAAAGTTCTTTTAATAAAGTTTATTTTAGGCTTGGTGCCTGTAGCTCAGTGAGTAGGGTGCCGGCTACATATACTGAGGTTTGCGGGTTTGAGCCTAAACAACAATGACAACTGTAATCAAAAAATAGCCAGGCGTTGTGGCGGGTGCCTGTGGCTACTTGGGAGACTGAGGCAAGAGAATCGCTTAAGCCCAAGAGTTGGAGGTTGCTGTGAGCTCTGAGGCCAGGGCACTCTACTGAGGGTGACATAGTGAGGCTCTGTCTCAAACAAAAAAGTTTATTTTAAAAACTTGGACAAACGCTGATTGTGAGGTTATTTTATACAAATGAATAAAAGGCTTAAGATGAGTATTGCTTCTTAGCCATTATCTTCAAGTAATTTCAAAAAATTAACCAGCAAATAAATTATTTTATAAAACTGACCATAGCCACAGATTACTAAATTTCTCTTTACAAACATATATATTTTTTATTGTTTCAGGTTCATTGAGGGTACAAAGAATTAGGTTACAGTGTTAGCATTTGTAGGTCCCTCTTATAATTGTGTCCCACCCCTGAGAAGTGTGCCAGACACAGTGAGCCCCTCATCCCCCCTTCCTCCCCTCTGCTCCCCTCATTCCCTGCCCCCACCTTGAATTGATTTGAGTTTTTCTCTTATGTGAGTATGTATTAAATTATCTACTGGCTTCATAGTAGAGTTGAGTAATTGGATTCTTGCTTCTCCATTCTTGTGATGCTTTACTAAGAAGAATGTGTTCCACCTCCATCCAACTTAATACAAAAGATATAAAGTCACCATCTTTGTATGGCTGAATAGTATTCCATATACATATACCACAGCTTGTTAATCCATTCCTGGGTTGGAGGCATTTAGGTCGTTTCCACATTTTGGTGATTGTAAATTGAGCTGTGATAAACAAGTCTAGTACAAATGTCTTTATGATAAAATGACTTTTTTTCTTCTGAGTAGATGTCTAGTAATGGGATTGCAGGATCAAATGGGAGGTCTACTTTGAGTTCTTTGAGGATTCTCCATGCTTCCTTCCAAAAAGGTTGTGTAAGTTTGCAGTCTCACCAGCATTGTCAAAGTGTTTCCTTCTCTCCATACCCACAACAGCATCTACAGCTTTGAGACTTTGTAAAGTGAGTTTTTCCTCACTGGCGTTAGGTGATATTTCAGGGTGGTTTTGATTTGCATTTCTGACAATCAGGGACAATGAGCTCTTTTTCAATTGTCTGTTAGCCATTCATCTGTCTTCATCAGCAAAGGTTCTGTTCATATCTCTTGCCTAGTGGTAGATGGGGTTTTTAGCCCTTTTTTTGTTCATTAATTTGAGCTCTCTGTAGATTCTAGTTATCAACCCTTTGTCAGATTCATACCCTGCAAATATCTTTTCCCATTCTGAAGGTCGTCTTTTTGCATTACTTGTTGTGTCCTTAGCTGTATAGAAGCTTTTCAGCTTAATTAAGTCCCATGTATTAATTTTTGTTGTTGTTGTGATGGCTGCTAAAATCTTTGTCATAAAATCTTTCACCAGCCCAACATCATCAAGAGTTTTTCCCATACTTTCTTCTAAGATCTTTATCCTTTCATATCTGAGATTTAAATCTTCTATCCATCTTGAGTCAATTTTTATTATGTAGTGAAATGTGTAGGTCCAATTTTAGCCTTTTATATGTAGTTATCCAGTTCTCCCAGCACCTAAATTTCTATATATTAAGGAATTTATGCAAAAATAAAATCTTTCCTTCAGCTCAAAGCTTTAAATTTAGTTTAGCTTCATTTGCTTGAATTTTACTAAATAAGAATCAATCACTTTTATGAAGTGATATTAGAAATGTCATTATGAATACTATAGATTCAAAAAGAGGTCCAGATTTTTTCAGCTGGGAAGTCTGGGATACAGTAGTATGTCTTGGGCAAGGAGGCCTTCCGTACCCATTCCTCCACGTAGGTCCCTACTCAGCGCTGGCACTCCACGTCAGAAATGCCAAAGTCAGTCAGTCATCTTGAGGGGCTCCCTCTACAGCCAGTCACCACGTACACCTCCTAAATCTTTCCAGACACTTCTCATCCCCACAGTCATCTACTCCATTTCATTATCTATGACTTGAGTTGTTGATTTCCCAGGTCAGCGCTTGCCTCTCCCCATGACACCCTCTACCCCCACAATCCAGTCTGCATCCAGTGACTTTTCTAAAGTGAAGTCTGAGCAAAAACCCTGAAACAAAAGCCATAATTGGATACATTCCCTGATTCTCATCTAGAGTACACCAATATGCAGAAGCCATGTCTATTTGACTCAGAGTAACAGCCACAGGTCTCGGCACAGTGCAAGGATCATAGTAGGTACTCAATAATATACTGAGCTGTCAAATAAATTAAGCCAAAATTTAAACAAAGGCAATTAGCACAGTACCTGGCAATATGCTATTATTATTATAAATTGCTATAAATTATGAATTAATTCATGGCCAACTCAATTGCTCCTACTGTTCAGTTGCATATTCTATTATAATCATTACTTTGTGGAAGAAATCCACAAAGATGATAATACGTTAACAGTAATGATCTGAGAAAATAATGATTAAGCCAATACTTTATGCAACCTATACTAAATTTTCCCCTCATTTTACCCCACCTTTTTCTAAAAGTGAGCATTTCTTTGTCTGTTTTATGCAAAGAAGAAACAAAATCTAGAAAACCTAACTTCCTTTTTTTCCTTAGCACAATATAATACATTTTTTTTTCATTTTCAAGTTTTTGTGTTTTTCATATACAGGGTGGCCATGAAGTTCATGTGCAATTTTGGCACATGAACTTTTTGGCACCCTGTTTGTGTATTGAGCAAAACTACATTGTATGGAGCAGCTTTTAGCTCCATATTAAATAAAACCTAACAAGAGAAAGTAAATTCAATTATTAAAATTATACTTTATAATTATTTACAACGGGAAAACCATGGCTACAATATTATATATCTCCTCCCAATAAGAGGTGGGGCCTGTTGCCTCATCTCTTGAATCTGGACTAGATTTATGACTTGCTTTGATCACTTTAATGCAGAGGATGTGATGAGGTATAAGTTTAGGGGTCTACAACTTATATCTTTACCCTTTCATGCTTTTGGAACGCTTCCCCAACCACGCAAGGAAGTCCAGGCTAGACCCCTGAGTTATGGGTAAGTCCAGCCAACACATAGCACCAAGGCCCCAGACACACAAGTGAGACCATCATAGCCCCTCCAGGCCCAGTTGGGGCCGCCTAGGACTAGTCACATGAGTGATCCTCGCCGAGCTCAGTCAACTCACAGAATCATGAGAAATAACATGATAATTATTTTAAGCCACAGAATTTTAGGGTGGTCTTTTATGCAGCAAAGGTTAATTGAGATACTATCCAAATGAGCTCCACTATAAAATATTATGAGTATAAAAAACCCACTTTAAGAGAAAACTGTATTATAGATAACATTATGAAAGAGCACTGACCCAAGGAGTGGAGAAACTTTTCATCTGAGATTGCTATTAATGGCACAGTTTGGAGCAAGCCCTTAAACTTTCTGGGCTTCATGCTCTTCCCACAGAGTGGTGCTGAGCAAGATGTCGTCCATGATACCTTCCACTAGTAGACATGAATGTTATGTGTAATTCCAACTGTATGTTTCAGGCTTTAGAAAATCGCTTTAATGTTAATTCTTCTTTTAAAGTATTATAAATTTTTATTCCTCTTTCCAAAACCATAAAACCCCATATACATAAATATATCAGTTATCTTCCTTCCCCTACACCACTGCCTTCAGCATCCCTCAAAATGTATCTTTATATACATATGCACACACACACACACACACACGTATGTGTGTGTATATATATATATATATATATATATTTTTTTTTTTAACAGAGAAAAGACAAATAGATTATTTGGTAATAATGACTAAAAAGGAATTGTTGATTTCCTCTTATGATAGCTGAATAAATGGCAACCCAAGAATTCCCTTACAGACTTCCATCTTTTGCCATAACGCAAAGATGCTGTTCACATGACTTGCCATTACTGCTTTCCAGACAGAAGTGCCAAGTGTTGTGCTTTCTGGCCGATCAGTGGTTGCTATAGTGTCCTTCTTGTCTTAGGTTTCATGGAAGAAAACAAAAGTACTTCCTTGATGTTGTTGGAGTCTGTGAGAAACACGGTGGCAGCAGGTGCCCAGGCCCCAGCTGGGAGGGCAGCCCATATTCAGGGGGCACAGTGTGCATCTAGGAACATGGCCTCATCGCCACCAGCAGCCTTGGCCTGTTCTGCAAGAAGCTGCCCCTGCCACACGGGATCATTCCATTCGGTGTAGGCATTGCGTATTTCTCTCTTCATGACAAATAACTCAAAGCGCTCAGTGAGCTCCTCTTTAGAGCAGTGCCATTTAGCCAGAGGGCTCGATGT